GGCAGGGCACGGCACCGGCACGGCCTGGCGCGGCACCGGCACAGGCACTGGCGCGGCGCGGCGCGGGGAGGAGGCGGGATGCTCCCTCAGCTGCCCCTGCCCCCGGGATGCTGACCCCCGCACCCCCCCGGAAAGGTGATTCCCTGCCCGGGAACTCCCCCCCGGGGATGCCCGCTGCGGCGGGGATCCCCGCGTCCCTGGGGGTCCCCGGGGGTGAAGGCAGACCGCGTTCCCTCCACCCGGCCATGGAGCCGGCCCCTCGGCAGCCCCCCCGGCGTTGGCAGAACCCCCCTTTTCCCCGCAAAAGCGACCAAAGATGCGCTCATTCGGGGGCGGCTGCAGGTGACACGGGGGTTCCGCGATGCGCAGGGCCCGCGAGCCGGGGATTCCTCTTTGCCCGATGGTTTTATGGAGCTGGGAGATTTGTGCCCGAGATTCCCTGCACACCTGAAGGAAAGGCATTAACATAGAGACAAACGGAACACGCAGTGGCCGGGGAGACAAAGCCGCCTTTCATGCCCTGTCCCTTCTGCCTCTCGTTAATAAACAAATGCTTTTCCCTGCAGTGGCTTCCAGGAGGAGTCGCTTTAAGCTCCAAAAGGTGCTTGTTTGGGTTTATTTTCGAGGCTGATCCTGAAGCATCTGTGCTCGCAGAGCCTCGCTTGCCCAGGCAGTGCGGAAGGGAGCCGAGATGCTCAGTTAGCAGCAGCAGGGGATGTCGTGGCACTGGATTCCGCGTTGAAGGGGAGCGGCCATAGTCCCATCCCACGGAGGTGACCTGGAGGCGGGAGGGCGATGGCTCTGGACACAGACTGCAATGGCCCCAGGACCTTTAGAGCCCCAGGGAAACCCCTCAAGGGATGACAAGAGCTGGGTCTTTGAGCCCATCAGTGAGAGCAAATGAGCACAGATGGCAGGATCGGGATTTGCTTTGCATTTATCATAGCGCAGCCAGAACCATCAGGAAAAATGGGAAGGGAGCAGAGCCGCTGTGCCCAGCCCAGGCATGGGGCGTAGCCTCTCCTCCTGTTTCCCCGGCTCGGGGCTGGAGCCAGCGCTGTCCCGGGGCTGGCACACCAGGGCACAGCCCCGGCACACGCACCCGGGGCTCTGCAGCCATGGGCGGCCGTGGCTCCTGCTGCCAGCCCGGCCCGCTGCTCTTCCCCTCCCTGGGATGCTGACAGCTCCCGGAGCAGCGGTACCATCGCAGGGCCGTGGTGTGCCGGGAGCCCCGCAGCGGGCACACAGCAGGGCTCAGGGAACATTTACTTCTTGTACACGTTTCCTCTCGCTAAGCGTGATTCTCTGTGGCTTTTTGGTCTCAGATGTTTCTGAGGGCTTTCTCTTTTCCCTGGTTGGTGACCATGCAGAACTGCAGAGAAATGCAGGGGGAGGTAGAAGGGACCAGAAGTGTTTCCCACGGCAGAGGGAAGAACAGTATTTTAGATTCAGGAAGCTGCTCGGAGGAGCAGGGAAACCACCTGACTTCTCTCTTCTTTTGACATAAATCTCTGTGGAATTTCCCCTTTCCCTATCATTTTGCTCAGACAGCAACTGAGGCTCTGCCTGGAAAGGAAGGAGATACCCGAGAGCATAACTTGATCTGGAGCTCGCCTGCTCTACCCTGCCCCTCAGCAGAAAGGGCACTTTCATAGCCAGGCAGCTGAGTTGCTAATCCTTGTCTGTTTTTGCAGGCTGAAATCCCAGCAAGACCACAGCAGTTCTCCCAGTGAGAAATTCAGTGCAAGGTACCTGTGAGGCCTCTGGGGCAATTTTGAAAAATGAGGATTTTCTTTGTCTCTGGGGCATTTTGAAGTCCAGAACACTTAGCATCAAAAAAGGGCATTGGTCACATCTCCTTTTAGCAGTATTTTTCCTGTTGTTCAGCCTAACTCTTGTGAAATCAACTGGCTTTCATCACTTGAGACACTTGCTTTTCTCTTGTCATTTCAGAAATGGTTTAGGACTAAATCCCTTTCCCCCTTTTATTCTGCTCTTCCCATATAAATGGAAAATCATTATTTTCTATAGGTCCTTGGGCATTTTGACATATGAAATAAATAAAGCAAGGTCCTTGGTGCAGTTACCAGAGCAACCTGAACACCAGCTTTGAGAGAATGAAGCCTAAATAACTGATTTTAAAAATATTTTCCTTCAGTTGAGGGTAACTGTTGGCAGGGACCCCAGGAGGTGAGTGGTCTGTTTTAATTTATCCAAAGCCCATCTCTCCCCAAATTCCCTGCTGTGAAACCCCATCATATTTGCCATCCTGGCAGAGAGATGGAGAATCTGAGCTCAGCCTGGATTCCACCCTGTCTGGAGGACCCCAGAGTTCAGCAGCACCATCAGAGGTTCTCGTTCCTCAGGCAAGTGCTGTGGGGGCTGGTTTTTCTTTTACCTCCTTTAATTTTGTTCCTGCAATTTCCCAGAAATGCCTGAAAACAAAGCACCTCTCAGGTCTCTCTTGCCCTCTGCCAAGGGAGCTCCTGGCACAGAGCCCTGCCTGGAGCACAGGGCAGTGTCCCAGTGTCCCTCCCTTCCTCAGGGAGCCCTGCAGCTCCTCTGCAAGGACAGATGTTGACCTCCAGCAGCACGGGCAGGTGGGCTGTCCTTCTTCAGCATCCTCCACAGGTTGCAGATTCTCAGCCTCCTCCGGGTCAGTTGAAGGTGTGCTCCTGCAAATTCCATGTGGGGATTTTGGTGTAAGGAGGAGCAAAGCACAGAGCCACAGAACGTGCTGAGCTGGAAGGGGATGCATTGAGTCCAGCACCTGGCTCTGCACAGGACATCCCAACAACCCCACCTTGTGCCTGAGAGCATTTTCCAAATGCTCCTGGAGCTCTGGCAGCCCCGGGGCCATGTTCATTCCCTGGGGAGCCTGGGCAGTGCCCCCCAGCACCCTCTGGGGGAAGAACCTTTCCCTGATATCCAACCTAAGGCAGGTCCAGCCATTCCCTGTGTTATCCAGCACAGGGCTGTGCTAAGCTTTTCCCCATTTCAGGCCAGCCTCAGAACCATGCCTGTACTGCAAGGGTGTCCCCCCACCTCCCACAGCCCTTCCCAGCACCAGCTCTATCCTGGTTCCCTGCAGGGAGCCTCAAGCCCTGCTGGTGTGAAGATGGCAAATACAGGAGACACCATCCCATAGCCCAGCCAAGGGAACATTGCTTTCCCTCCCTAGGGGACATTCCTTCCCTGCAACAATCAGGTGTTTCACAAAAGCCCCACAAATGCCAACAAATCCATTGCAATCAGTTTCTCCCACCTCCATGTTTTCTCTGCAAGGATTTGGCTTGCTCAGTTGGGGGATGCCCATGGAGAGCATCAGTGCCCCATGTGGGGCAGGAGCCAGCCCTTGACCAGGACACACCAGACTCCTGGCACCAGGGGGACACCACCACAGCCTCGGGTGAAATGTGAAAAGCGGGTGATAAATTATGAACACAGGAATTGTGTGGAAAAAGCAAAACCCAACACTCAGTCTGAGACTCCAACCTGGACATTGACTAACCACAGAATCAGAATGGCTCAGATTGGAAGAAACCTTAAAAATCATCTACTTCTATGTATCTCCTGCCTGTTAATGTCAACTCCCAGATCAGAGAAAGGCAGAACTGAGAGCTGTAGCTGTAGGCACCACAGTGCTGTCTGTCCCAGAAATGGACCATCCTGGCACAGTGGTCTGATCCAGCCACCCATCCTTCCCTCAGCTGGGAGAGCATTGACCCACTGTAATTCCATGAGATTCTCAACAGTCCAAAGAAAAGTTGAGAACATTTGTTGTAGGGAGGAAAAGTAGGACTTTATTATTACGAAACCCACCCCAAAAAACCTTTTATCTATTGGCACATGGTGATCAAAGGGAAAAAATCAAGAGCAAGTTGTTTCCTGCACCTGGGAGAGAAGCTGCTAGGGTTTCCTCCAGCCCCTTTGTGACATATTCACCTAGGCAGTAGGAAGGAAAAAAATCTACTCATCCTTCAAGGAAATGTGTGCCTCTTTTATTTGCTGCCCTCCCCGAGAAACTCATTCACTCCTTGTCCACCCACACAAGCAGGAATGATGAATGAAAAACAAACCATAAACAATTCAGCCTTCCCTTTTCCCTCCCAGCCTTCCCATCAGATGTTGCAGCCCGTGCCTCAGCTCCCAGATTTGCCCGCGGATCGCTCCCACCGCGTGCCTTGGCTCGTTCCTTGGATACACCCAACACGTTTGACAGCAGCTCCAGCTCCAGGAGGGCTTTGAGACAGGGCAGCACTGCCCAGAGCCAGAGGATTGCTCTGGTGGCACTGGCAGAGGTGGCACTGGCAGGGAGCTGATGATCAGGCGGGCAGCTCTTCGTGTCCCCAGAAGGACAGCGGTGCCCAGGTACTGAGATGTGTCACTAGGAAGATGGCAGGGTGCAAAATGGCACCAGTGGGAGCAATGCTCCCCACAGGATGGTGCATGCCAGCCTCCAGCCCTCCAGTGGGAGATCCCTCCATCCCAGAGATTCTCCCTGGACTGGATTTCACTGCCAGCCCTGGATGTTTTCTCTCTCCCTTCTCTCCACACAACCTCCTTACACCCCCCTGTGTATCAAATAACAATTGCAGCCACACCAGGGCACCAGGTACATCTGTGCACCTCTGAATTCCCTTCATAGGCAAAGTCCCCTCCCACTTTTGCCCGTTTCGTGTATTTTTATGTAAAAATATGCTGAGTGGGTGTATGCCTTATTACATGTGTAGGAAACATGGGGAATGAGGACTTGAGGTACCACCACAATAAAAGAGAGGGATGAGGCTGTTTGGCTTTGCTCTTGATTCCCTGTTTAAATACAATTTGCCATTGTTAGATAAGAGACCCTCTCCAAATTACTTCTGAGATCCAGGAGACCATTTCTGCAGCAACAAGTTACTGCTTGTAGGCAGCCTGTGGCTGGAAAATGCCCTTGATATTACAGAAATGGTAACTTGTTTAATAGATCCAAATAAATAGGAAAGCCCAGGAGCTCGGGTGGCAGCATCTGAGCCCTGTACTGAGAGGTGCACAGACCTTAGGGCAAGGCTAAATATAGGTCCCACAAACCAGAACAACAGAGCTTCTACTGAGAAGATAATCAAGCCCTGGAGGAAACTACACAATATAAAGCTGAGATTTAAAATAAATGTGAAATGAGTTGGTGGATCTGGGACTAGTTCCTTATGGAAAAGTTTTCACATCAGAAAAAAATCGTTTGGTGAAATGGGCTCTTTAATTAGCAGTTTCAGCAAGAAGCCAGGAGGACTGGAGGGGTGCTGGAGCCTCATCCCTCACCCTTCCACCCTGCCCTTTGCAAGGAGAGCTGGGATCAGGGGAGGGGTGGGCTGTCCCAGGCTGCTGCATGTCAGGGGCTGAAGAGGAGCCCTGTTTGCTCTCCTTGTGCTCAACTCTTACCATGCCCTTCCCAAGAACATCCTGCACTCTCCAAAAGCAACACCCTGGATTCAGCAGGTGCTGAATCCAGGCAGGAGATCCACAGGACAGGTGTCCATGGCCCCTGCACACCAGGCTCTCATCCTGCACCCACCAGT